CCCATCTAGAACATGATCGCTTGCGACCAATTGTAATTGTAGTCAAGATGTGACTAACCTGAGCAAAACACTGGCTTCTATAATAAAAACTACCTACACTTCAATTGCGTGTCCCTATGCTAATGACTCACTCCGAACGACCTCCAATCGCGAATTGCATTTGCGACTTATTAGCTCATTCCATGATAAGGTGCATCTGACTTCATCCGACCCAATTAGTCGCCGTTTTGATTAGGTCACCTCATTGTCCATTAGTGATGTAACAAGTGATTTGTAGGGTCTCCGGTTCTCCGCACTCACCATACGAAACACAGCAACATTAAGCTGCTATGTTGCCCAGTGCAATTAGTCGCCGTTTTGATTAGGTCACCTCATTGTCCATTAGTGATGTAACAAGTGATTTGTAGGGTCTCCGGTTCTCCGCACTCACCATACGAAACACAGCAACATTAAGCTGCTATGTTGCCCAGTGCAATTAGTCGCCGTTTTGATTAGGTCACCTCATTGTCCATTAGTGATGTAACAAGTGATTTGTAGGGTCTCCGGTTCTCCGCACTCACCATACGAAACACAGCAACATTAAGCTGCTATGTTGCCCAGTGCAATTAGTCGCCGTTTTGATTAGGTCACCTCATTGTCCATTAGTGATGTAACAAGTGATTTGTAGGGTCTCCGGTTCTCCGCACTCACCATACGAAACACAGCAACATTAAGCTGCTATGTTGCCCAGTGCAATTAGTCGCCGTTTTGATTAGGTCACCTCATTGTCCATTAGTGATGTAACAAGTGATTTGTAGGGTCTCCGGTTCTCCGCACTCACCATACGAAACACAGCAACATTAAGCTGCTATGTTGCCCAGTGCAATTCTTTGAAAGCGTGGTCCTTCCCCGGTCTAGCCGACCCATTCGTACTACAACTATTATATATATATATATACCATGTAAGAAAAGATGTGTTATCTGTTTTCTTCTAATAAATCGATTTGAAACAAATAAATATTTCGCCATTGCTTATGTGACCGAACTTATATTATAAATTATTATAACAAAGAGATAATTATCGGAATGTGCAAACAATGCACCCACGTAAACACACACTGCACGGTTTCGAATCTGCGGTCTTTAACAATGAAGCAAGGTTATTCTCACGCTGTCACAGTAGTATTTGTGACGCTGCTTAACAATTTACTCGGAAAACATGATCATGTTTGTTGGTTACATGTATTGTGCGATTAGCGTCAAATTGCATTACAATATTCAGTAAAGAAGACAATCGTTTTTGGGATTATTAGTAATTTTCACGTAATTTAATGGTTTTAATATATAAAAAAGAAACTGGCTAAAGATTTATGAAAATCTAACTGGATCATGATAAATAACACAATTAAGAATTAATACAATACAAATCACAGCCGTCTGTTTATTCGTTAACTGTTTTCTCCGGAACTAATAATATATTCTTTTAGCAGTTCCGGAGAATCCTTCAAGTAGTATTTAAGATTATGGAGAACCTGTAACTTTTTTATACGTTGTATTATTGTATTTTATAATAGAATATCGATAAAAACTGCTGTACAGTCTGCTGCAGCTGCACGTATAAGATTTTAGGTTATAGTGAGATTGCCGTTTGATTGTTAATTTCTCAGTTTTCCCATTAGATATGGTAAAACTAATGTTACTAGCGTAATCTAGAGATCATAAGTAATAAATCGACATGTATTTCATTAAGTTACGCCACAATTTGTGGTGGGCCTATTCGCTCTACAAAAATAAATTGTCTCCTTTAATGATTTCTAATATTTACAATACAATATAATACTCTTTATTGTACACCAACGAAACATAAATATGACAAAAATGAGGGAAAAACAAAAGGCGGTCTTATTGCTATATATAGCAATCTCTTCCAGACAACCCGGAGGAGAAACTAATAAAAATGAGAATAAAATTAACGGCATTTACGCGAATACTACATACACATGGAATAATATACACATCGAATAAAACTAATTTTGTCCATAGTCATGGGGGCACTGAGGTGTTTGACGTCCTGATGTCATAGTTAAAGATCAATTATTAGAATATTTGAGTATTAATTTTATTAATTATAGAATCCCAAGCAGATGCTTACACCCAGCCATCTTCTCTATTGAAATTGGGATGTTTTTTTAATTTCAATAGCCCCGCAAATCATACTTGGTAGGAATCGGTGTTCTTTTGCGAAGATTTGTGGTGTATCATAAAATCTGATGTAATGGTGCTCTTTTGCGAGGATTTGTGTTGTATCAAATCTGATGTAATGGTTGGAACGATTCTGAACATGTTGACATACTGCAGACTTCCCGGAGCATCGGTGCTTCACATCAGCCATGTGTTCTTTCACGCGGGTTTTTAGCGATCTTTTATATAGGACAAACAAGAGTCGGGAATTAAATTAAGTTAAAATTATACGAGATAGAATCAGTAAAAGTAGTTTTATTCCATTTACTAAATTTGTTCTGTTTTTGTACTACCTATTTTTTATTTGGTTGTCGGATTACTTTTCTGCGAAGAAGAATTAAACGGAGCTTTAACTTTTGTGTAGGTATATTATGTTATCAGTAATAACACAGCTAACGTCATGGTAAGTGGATGCTGTGGCCCATACACATCTACATCTACCCTCGATTAGAAATCAAAATGCAGACGCGTTGTCACCCCTGAGGACTAAGATAGAATGCCTCGTTTCCAGTAAAATGAGTCTCCGGATCTCTACACTCACCATACGAATCACAGCAGCGTTAAGCTGCTATTTTACGCTTGAATTCTGTGAGAGCGTGTTTCTTCCCCGTTCGACCCATTCGTGCTACAACCATAATAAGCTACAGCATGGTTCTACCACATATAAGATTTTTCTTTATTTTTTATATAATATGGTTTTTTAACCTTGTGTGTGGACTAAAGAATATCACGATCTCATTCTCTTCGTTACCTATTTACACCGAGTGCCACAGAAGTAGAGAATTTTTACTCGATATTTGTATAGTACTAGCGATATGACCCGGCTTTGCACGGGTGTTGTCTGTATCTTGACAACAGCGCCACCTACAGGATCCAAATGTGAATCCAAACCATCTGAGGACTCATTCAAACACACAAAACAATTGATTTTTATTTATAGAGATTATACATAATCAGGATTTTATCTTACAAGTCATCGCCTAATGAAATTAGTTTGGTATCTCATGTTTATCCTCAGAGGTAACAACACTGTGACTGCCTTCTTTGTCTTTTTTTTTAAATAGGATAGGGTGACAAACGAGCACACAGTACATCTGATGGTAACTGGTAAGTGGTTGCTGTGGCCGATAGACATCTACATCTATCCTCGATTACGAATCAAAATGCAGATGCGTTGTCACCCGTGAGGACTAAGATGGAATGCCTCTTTCCAGTAAAAAGGGTCTCCGATTCTCTACACTCACCATACGAAACACAGCAGCATTAAGCTACTATTTTACGCTGGTATTCTTTGCCTTCTCTGCCTTTGATATAATTATAGAGATTTCATTTACAGGAGGTAGTAAAATAAATTCAAATAAGTTAGCTCTTGCTGGCTCTCTGTGCGGCTTGGAAACTTGACACGTCGCCTGTTATTTTTTGATCTCAGATAGGCGTTTATCATCGCTGAATTAATGGATGAATTAAAATATCACTTAAAACTGTTTATAAAAAAAGGTACCATTCAGCGCGGACTGATCACGTACTGTGACAGTTAAAGTGAACCTCCATTAAGTTAACAAAGCGCAGCACGAAAATGTCGACACCTAATTTGAGGTAGAATGAATTGAATTCGGCCTACGAATTCCTTTGTCAGACGTCTTTCTAAGATTTACCGTTTCAACCGTTGAGGTTCAACCTGACCAGAGGAAAACGAAAATAATAATTAACTAATAAATAACTTTTTTTATGTAAGAGGATGCAAACGAGCATGCGGCTCACCTGATTCATGGTAAGTGACTACCGCCTCCCATGAACAACTGCAACATCAGGAGAATTACGGGTGCTTTGCCGGCTGCGAAAAAGTTTTATTTGTCCGGAAAAATCGTCGGTGGTAGGGTAAAATTTATTGGCTGGAATTAGTTCTAACAAGTCCTTTGAGCACTCCCAGTGCATTTCAAAGCGCTTTATAAATTTCTAGGTCACTAGACCAAAATCTTGATTCATCACACTATTTATTGTTCCGAAAACTCCGACAAATTACTGCTTCATCAAGCGTTTGCTTTTTTCTCGAAACCATTACGGTTTCTAGGAATCACTCTTGCGTGCCTTTGCAATTTGAAGCGGGAATAGAGTGTAAAATTGCGACTTTTCTACTACTGTGAAGGTTTTATGGCTGACCTGCTTTTTAATTTCTTTACTTTTAGCTTAGTTGCATTTCTTAAAATATTACAGGCACTGTAGATTTATTTCCAACCATCTGATGTTAATTGCCTACTATACCTATATACTAAATCTACGGAACAGGTATTTGTATAGCCTACAAGTATCTGTTCCGGGTTTTGATGTTTGTCTGTATTTCTTGGGTTCCTGTAAACGAAATTATTTAGAAATAGTAAACATCTATTATAATATAAGAAGTGTTGTTTCCATACAAATTCCTCAAACATTTATATTAAAAAACACAAATTAATTTTAAAATACAGGAAAATATATAGTTGAAGTGCTTTTTTTAGAAAAAAAAGCGCAGTATATTCAACCTCCATCAATAATAAGAAACGAAACAGTAAGTGAACTGAAAATGTGTGAGGAAATTAAAAAAAAAGTTCGTCTTATTTAGCAATCCTTTCAGCGTTAAATGGAGGCCCCCTTTTTTTTAAAAAAAAGTACTTTTTAACATTACGAGGAAATTGTTACGCATACATACAAAGCCATAATATAAACCGTTAGAGACAGTCATAAGTTTAAGTAGTTTATTAAATGTAATCTCTATTTCCAGGTGCTGAAGGAAGCGCGGCAAAATGCCGGAGGGCGTGGCCAAGGAGGCCAAGGAAGATGGGAAGTCGAAAGCCAAGGAGTCATCGCCACGAAAACGGCCCGGGAACACGACCAGGGTCAACGTGGAGTTGCTCGATGGCTCAAAGATGGAGTTGGACGCTGATGTGAGTACGAGTAAATTTTTTTACATCAGAATGACAAACTATCATTCAATATATTAATATCCTACAGAACGAATTTCGGTCACTGCGTCCGGCCTTTTTTTTTAGAATAACGGTGCCTAACGAGCTCAGAGTCCACGTAATGGTAAGTGGATGCTGTGGCCCATAGACATCTACATCTATTCCTCGATGAAGAATCAAAATGCAGATGTGTTGTCAGCCCTGGAGACTAAGAGTCTCATTTTTAGTAAAGAGGATTTCCGATTCTCTACACTCACCATACAAAATACAACAGCATTGTGCTGGTAACGCTGGTATTCTGTGAAAGCGTGGACCCTCCCCGTTTGAGTTGAGCCATTCGCCAAGATATTGCTGTGTTGTGCTACAACCATAATACAGCTTGCGTGGCTCTGCCACGCATAACATCTGTGGTGGGTACCGGCCTCATATTTTTGAGATAGTGACGGAGATATCAGCCCACGTTTTACGTCATAGCGTTTTAGTGGATATCACATGCCCGTGATATATTCTATTCCTCATATATGCAAGTTTCTTCACGATGTTGTAGCTGAACTGTAAATCAAGCACTCAACATTGCAATTACCAATTATAATTTGTATAAGGTAGCCTCTCTTGCTCGGCTAATTTAAAATGAACGGTGAGCACTTAGCCTCTCAACAACTACGGCTCTTAATGCTATTATAGGAAGCTATCTACTGCACAATAAGTATTACCTATATCAATATAAGATTATTCTTAAACTTAGAGACATTCATTCGGTTCAATCTACACGATGTTATTGGTGATGGACTAAGTAATCTACTTTAAAAAAAATGAAAATGACATATGGATTAACGGTCCACCAGATGATAAGTGGCTACTGCAGCCCCTGGACACTTAGAACCAAGTTTAAACCGACTTGACGGCTCCGTGGTGCAGTGGGCCGCGGGTTCGAATCCCGCACGGAACAAGTACATGGTTTTACACGTGGTAGAGCTATGCTACAGCTACATTATGGTTGTAGCAGGTAATAGTTGAGCAACGGGATGGACCACGTTCTTACAGAATACCAATCGTAAAATAGGAGCTCAATACTGCTGGGTTTCTTATGGTGAGTGTAGGGAACCTGAGATTCTTTATGCTGGAAACGATGCATTCCATCTTAGTCCTCACGGGTGCAACGCATCTGCATTTTGATTCGTAATCGAGGATAGATGTAGATGTCTAAGGGTGGATGGATATCGTCGCCGTGGACCACTTACCATCAGATGTATTGTTGCTCGTTTGTCTCCCTATTCTATAAAAAGTATGAGTGTGGCCTACAAATAATTTTGTCGGGTCTGGATATTTGTCCTTGTGAAATTTATGTGTATCCAGGATACGAGAAGCCCCCACGATACAGTAGAAAGTTCTAGTGTGGAGGTAACGTTTAAAAACAAAACACATCTTTACTGGCGTTTTCACATAAACATCAAGTAGTATATTGGCTTATAAAAAATATTAATAATAATAATAACCAGTAACTTCTCTTTATTACAGAGAAAGATCCGCGGCCACGAACTGCTGGACAAGGTGTGCGACAGCCTGAACCTCGTGGAGAAGGATTACTTTGGACTGCTTTACGAAGACCGCGGAGATCCGCGCGTCTGGATAGATCTGGAGAAACGTGTCTCCAAGTTAATCAAACGTAAATATCTATATTTCCTTCTTAGTATTTGTTATGAAAAACAATTCTAAATATTAATACTATTAAACACCTATGGACCTGGTTTCAGCCAACGGCTTACTGTAGTTAAATTGGGTGTATTGCTTGCTTTTTGCATCCGTAACCACTACAGCCTATTAAAGTCCACTGCTAAACACAGGCCTCCTCCAGAGATTGCCTCATAGCGGGAATATTTCCCATAGTTGCCACGCTTGGCAAGCGGGTTGGCACGATTGGCAAGCGGGTTGGCAACCATAGTTTTATTTTAGGCGTTATTAGGAAGACACTGCTTTCCATCTTCTGATTTGTTTCGATATCGCACCTCCAATGATGTCGTACCACCATATCCACTACCCATATCGTTGCTATTCGTAAATGGCAACAGAGAATAGAACAGGATGTAAGCAGCAGCGTTTTTCTAATAACAACTAAAAACAATAATAAACTGCCGTTGCCAACCTGCTGCCAAGCGTGGCCATTATGTCAAAACGCCTCTGAGGCAATCATTTAATGTTCATAACGGCTACTAGTGCATAGTTACTCATACCCGAAGTGGGGCGAATTTGAGTGTCTTGTTTACTACGATGATTTCTTGAATTATTGTTTTACCGTTGGTGGAATAAGGCAGCTTTATGCTGCAATAAGAGAGAATAGTCGGGATATAATATACTTACCCGATAGCTGTACTTTAATTGATTTGTTTATTACTCCTTATTGCATTCTTATCCTTAATAAAATAATTCCAAGGGCGGGCTTAATGTCTTGAGTCATTCTCTACCAGTTAACTCATAGAGTGGTGAGAAGTTGAAGTTACAGCCTATATACGTCCCACTCCTGGGCACAGGCCTCTCGCTCATTTCTAAGAGTGTTTTCGGACAAGGAATTGTCCGCCTCGCTGCCGCAATATGTTGACGAACTACACATGTCTTCAAAATATTTTTTTTCTTATTTCTCAGACATGCATGTTTCCTCACTATGTTTTCCTTCACAGCCGAGCACGTGGTAAATCGTCGTGGTAGCTCAGATAGTTAATGCTCGCTGTAAATTTCACAGTACCTACGCGAGAAAACCGGGTTCGATCCCACCGGCACCAATGAAATTGTTAATTGCAATTTTAAGAAAATTATAATTAGCTACGTAATATATACATATTCTTTCACGCGGCTGCTGGTCTTTTTGCTTTCTTAAGATCGATAGGTGTGGAAACAACGATTATCGATCGATGTCATTGATCGATGATGGAATGGATTAGTCGAAGTCGATCGATAGTTTCTACCACTACCTATCGAGGTCAGAGTAGATTAACCAACGTCGATCGAGCTGCATGATTATTCGAGAACCCGCCCCGCTCCACCGACCAATATTTAAAATGTATAGATGAATTTAAGCTATCTCTGACCATAAAAAATGGTCTTTTGCATAATGATGACCCAAACCCAAGCATACCACTGCAAGACTTCAAGATACTGTAAGTTCGTTTTGCGTAAATCGGACCAAAAATTAATATTCAAAAACTGAAGGTAGCCGGGCTAACAATGACATTGGGACGTCAAACATCTCAGTCCCCCCCGTGACCATGGTTGCTGTAAAGCACCCGAAACGTCGGGAATTAAAAATAAGTAAAAGTAGTGAAATAAACGCGATAAAATCCGCAAATTTAGTTTTATTCAATGGTCTATTGCGTTTGCGTCTCCGTCATAATAATACGAGCAAGAGCGTGCTGGCCAACAGTAACACGTCCTCTTCTGAATACATTTTGAAAGATACTGATAATGAGCCCATAACCATATCGATTAACTGTCGATCGATGATTGAACAACGACCAGTATCCAATAACCAATCGATCAACATCGATCAACGTCGATCAATAGCATCGATCGACGATCGGTCGATAACACTCACTCGATAACAGCTTTATAAATAAACAATGCACAAGAATAGTTAATTATTATGCACGGCTAGATGTATTTCGCGACAGATTTTGGCAGTCCATGTTCGGTGTAACTCGAGAATTAAAATGGTCGCTCAGCTCATACTGTGGGTCTTCTAGTTCCAGCGAATGTTATCTATTTTCACGGTAACCAATAAGAAAGGGATGATGAATAATGTTTTACGATGATACTTACATATGTTTTTTTATATTATGTTATTGGTGCTATCGAATTCAAATATGCGAAAACGGTATTATAAGAAACCGTGTAGTGGCGGTACAAGAATACCTATTACCCCATATCGTTCCGTGGGTGACGTAAGAGGCGTGGAGGGGAACTGAAACGGAAGATGAACAGCACCATCTTCCTGATGACTAAATGTATGATTTTGTCAATAGGCGAACCTTGGGAGGTGCGTTTCGCAGTAAAGTTCTACCCACCGGAGCCGGCACAGCTGCAAGAGGAGCTCACGAGGTACCAGCTCGTACTCGCCGTCAGAAGAGACCTGCTAGAAGGTGAGTGCAATTGCGTATTTCACACTGTATTCAAAAGAAACATTCCTATAGAAACTTAATGAGAATATAATGTAATGATGCCTCATCTAGCATGCAGTGATGAGGTAACCAATGCCTTAGCATAACCAATGCCTTTTCAATCTTACCTTGAAGACTCCCAGATTGAATTCTATTTGGGAAGACAGACGCCAGTAGATTATTCATTTCATTTTGCTGTACGCACTACGAAGACGATGCAAAACGTTTGGTTCGGATGCCTGGAAAGTCGATAACAATGATTGTTACGGATATTCGCATACGCATACAAATGTTATAGTCATGTAATTATTTTATTTGTAACATAAACATAAACACTCAGGCCTGTCACCCAGAGGGGTAGGCAGAGACTATGGACTTCCATTTGGCACGATCCTGACATACCTCTTTCGCCTCCTTTACATCCATATATCTACGCATACATGCTCGTCGGTTAAGGGTACTTCTAACGTGGCCCATTTTCAAAATATCGCCAATTTGGTCGATAAACTTTTTTCTAATTTTATTTGTATGTATCTAAATACTAAAAATCTGTCATTCTTTGTGGTCTTTCTCTCTTTGTTGATATGAGACATGAGAAGAATTAAAAAAAAACATCAATCAAAAGAAGACAAAAATATAGAGCCTTTGAATTCTATTTATGCTACTGACCAACGTACGTATCAATGATACCAACCCTTATTCTATGTAAAGCATACTGATAGACATGGATATCTTTCGTTGCACGGAGGATTTTTGTCACCGGCGAATTTTCCGAACCGAAACGAGCTTATTCATTTTAAAATTAATTCCTCTAGTGTTGCAGTTGTTATTGGGCGATGGTGGACACTCACCATCAGGCATCAGGTGAGCCACGTGCTCGTTTTTCCCCTTTTCTATAACAAAAGGAGGGCGGGCGGATATACGAGCGCAGATTTTATTATAGAATAAGGGTGTTTTTTTAGAATAAGGGTGAAAAACGAGCATACAGCCAATGTGATAAGGACGCTATGGTCCATTGATATCTATATTATTTATCCTTGATTAGGAATCAAAATGCAGATGTAATGCCACCCCTGAGGACTAAGAGAATGCCTCGTTTCCTAGCAAAAAGCGTCTCCGGTTCTCTAAACACACCATACGAAATACAACCGTATTAAGCTGCTGTTTTTCGGTGGTATTCTGTGCGTGGTCCTTCTCCGGTCGAGCCGACTCATTCGTGCTACAACTATAATATAACTGCAGCAATGCTTTACCTCGTAATGGATATTCTCACGCGGCATCTTATAGTTGTATATACAATTGACCAAATTTTCTTTGTTTCTTTTTTTCTTTCCAGGGCGTCTTCCCTGCTCGCGGTAACCCACGCGTTGCTCGCTAGCTACCTGCTGCAGTCGGAGCTAGGCGACTACGAGGAGTCGGAAAATGGAGCTGGACTGTGTAAGCAATTGAAGCTGGTGCCGCCCAGTGCTTGCACTCCTGAGCTCGAAGAGAAGGTCGTGGAACTACACAAGACTCACAGGTCAGGATGGATTTCGATTTAAAATGCCGCGGATAGTTGTTATGTCGAACAATTGTTGACCGATATAAATCATTCGACATTTTTTTTTATAGAAAAGAGTGACAGATATGCTTCTGCGTTCAGGAAATTACGACATATCTCGACAGGTATACCTACCTCAAAACCTGAAAACTATATTGTACAACCAGTGTATGTTGCCAGTGGTGAGACTTACGGATCTGAGACGTGGTCCTTCACTGCTGGCCTCTAAAAGTCGCTTAGCGAGCTGTAGAGAGGGCTATGCTCGGGGTTTCTCTGCGTGATAAACTTAGAAATGAGGATATCCGCAGTAGAACCAGAGTGACTGATATAGCCAAACGGATTAGTAAGCTGAAGTGACAATGGGCCGGCCATATAGCTCGAAGAACCGACAACCGATGGGGAAAAAAGTTTCTCGAGTGGCAGCCTCGTACAGGTGGGCGAGTGTAGGGCGACCCCCACTTGACGGTGTGGCGACCTGGTAAGACATGCAGGAATTCGATGAATGCAGGTGGCTCAGGACCGTGCTTTGTGGTGTTCCTTGGGGGAGGCCTGTGTTCAGCAGTGGACTTGTGAAGGGCTGTAATGATGATGATGATGAAGGGTGACAAAACAGGATACTGTGGTGAGCCATGTACGTCTACATCTATCTTGGTTAGGAATTAAAATGCAGGTATATTTCACGCTTTCTAAGATGGAATGCCTTGTTTCCAGTAAGAAAGGTCTCCGGTTCTTCACATTTGCAATACGAAATATAGCAAGCATGAAGCTGTACTTTTATTTACTTTTATTTTATTTTACGCTGCTATTTTATTATAGCGTGGTCCTTCCTCGGTCGAGCCGATCTATTCGTGCTACAACTGTAATATATGTATGATTGATGTCAACTTCATTGATGTCTTCCAGGACTATTACAAAAATCGTAAGCAAGTGCCTCTGTTGTAGATACACGTGTAAAGACGACGACTCCGTGGCGCAGTGGCTTAGCAATGAGTGTCTGCGCTGGGGGTCGCGGGGTCGAATCCCGCACGGAACAAGTATTTGTATGGCCTACAAATAGTTGTTCCGGGTCTGGATGTTTGTCCTTGTGCAATTTATGTTTGTAAACTGCCCCCACGATACAAGAAAAAATCTTAGTGTAGGGGTAACGTTTTTTTAAAAAAACAACAAAGATGCCGTGCAGTTGTTATGTCGAATAATCTCTAAGCGATTAACCATTCCCTGTGGCAATAATAGAATTAATTGTTAAAATCATTCAATATCAAAACGATATTGTTATATAATTAGTATTAAATAACGCTAACAGGTCTCTCGTGGTGTCAAAAGTACTTTTAAATTTTTGCATTTATGGGTCGTACTAATCTATGGTGTCTTATTCTATATTTTTATTTTATTTATTTATTTATTTGCTTTTTAAGGGAAACATACAGTACAATAAAAAATACGTTATAAAAACATATAAAAGTAATCGATCAAATAGATATAAAAAAATCGATCACCTGATCGGTCGATCTGCTGGTGATCTTCTGGTCTACCTAACCATAGATGGGCGGAGGTAGTAGAGTCCAAGGGGGAGGCATTGGCCGTTAGTTTGGACATTGCGAAGGCCTTCAATCGGGTTTGGCACAAAGCGCTTCTTTCGAAGCTCCCTTCCTATGGGCTTCCCGAGAAATTGTGCGATTGGATCACCAGCTCTCTTGCAGATCGGAGCATCAAGGTCATTGTAGATGGTGCAAGCTCCGATTGCAAGCCTATTAATGCTGGTGTTCCACAAGGCTGCGTGCCAACGCTGTTTCTTTTGCATATCAATGATATGTTGCAAGCCCGTAACATTAATTGCTATGCAGATGACAGTACTGGTGATGCTCTGTACACCGGCCGTGCCAATATTTCTCGGGAAAACTTCTCCGAGTATCGGGACAAACTTGTGTCTGAAGTCGAGTCTTTGCTGAACAGAGTCTCGGATTGGGGGCGACTAAATCTAGTCCAGTTTAACCTCCAGTTTGACACAAGTTTGGGCGTTAACGCCTAAGAAAGAACCCCTTTGTCGTGTCTCCCAGTTTCAAGGCACTCCCCTTGTTGCCTCAGCCAGTATCGGTATCCTCGTCGTCGACATATCGAGTGACGTGCAGTTTCGTGGTCACTTGGAAGAGAAGGCCAAATTGGCCTCTAAAAAGCTTGGCGTGCTCAGCAGAGCGGGACAGTATTTCATGCCGGCAGACCACCTGCAACTTTACAAGGCACAGGTTCGGCCGCACATGGAATACTGTTCCCATCTCTGGGCTGGAGCTCCCCAGTACCAGCTCCTTCCACTTGACCGTATCCAGCGCAGAGCGGCTCGAATCGTCGAGGACCGAGTGCTTTCCGATCGGCTCGATTCACTGGCGCTGCGAAGAGATGTTGAATCTCTTTGCATGTTCTTTCGCATATACCATGGGGAGTGCTCGGATTAATTCCAACCGCCAAATTTTGTGAACGCAATACGCGGCAAACGTCCCTATACCATCAACACCATCTGGATGCTTGGCGGTCCACCATTGTACGCTTTACAAGGAGTTTTCTACCGCGTACGACCTCTCTGTGGAATAGTTTACCACCGGCGTTTTTTCCGGACCAATACGACCTGGGAACCTTCAAGAAAAGAGCTTACTCCTTTCTGACGGCAACGCACCTGCAATTCCCCCGGTGTTGGGGTTGATCATGGGCGGCGGTAGTCACTTAACATCAGGTGAGCCGCATGCTCGTTTGCCCCCTCTTCTATAAAAAAGCTTGCAACCACAATATGTATAAAATTAAAAAGAATTAATTAAATGGCATTTATAATTAAACATTAAGTACTAAACAGTTAAAAGTAATACAATACATACAACCTATAGTGAAGCTACCAATTTTAAATTAAGTTTTACAATATTTTTTTATAACTTAAATATTTAAGGTGAAAAATATCGAGTTCACAATATTTCAAGTTAAAATTTTTACATGTACGAGATACAAAATTATTTGAAACATACTTCGTTTTAATTTTACGCAATGCAAAAAGAGGTTTATTTCGTGCAGCTAACCGGTGACACGCAAGATTCACTTTGCTTAAAAGTAGTGGAGAGTTGATTATATTATGTAGCAATTTGTACAACAACATTTGATTTCGTACATAAAAAATAAATGAGCAATTGAAAATGTATTTTAATCCTCTTAAATTCTGTTCTATAGAGGACAAACGCCAGCGGAAGCGGAGCTGAACTATTTGGAGAACGCCAAGAAACTGGCGATGTACGGCGTGGACCTGCATCCCGCCAAGGACTCGGAGAACGTCGACATTACGCTCGGTGTCTGCTCCTCTGGACTGATGGTGCACCGGGAGAAGTCAGTTCCTTTTAAATATGTATTTATCATAATAGATTAGAAAGCTGAAGTAGCAATGGGCTGGCCATATAGCTCTAAGAACCGACAACTGATGAGGAAGAAAGGTTCTCGAGTGGCAGTTGACGTGTAGAGTGGACTTCCACTAGATGAGTGATGGCCTGGTAATACATGCAGGAAGTCGATGGATGCATTGGATGCAGGTGGCTCAGGACCATGCGTTGTGGCATTTGTAGGGGAAGGCATCACCCATCGTGTCGGTTAGGGACTCTTAACTGTAAGAATATACGTATAGATATCCGGTACTTGATTTTATTAATGATTTTAGTCTAGGAGGCTTGTTAGGGTTAAGCTTGAACCTATTACATTGTTTTTAGATGTCGGAAATGCGTATAGAATTGAATTAGATAAAAATAAATTTTAATAAAAATTGCTTATATCGAAATGCAAATATTATAAAGTAGACGTTCGGTACTTGATTTTTTAATTTTGTTTTCAATTTAGGAGGTTTGTCAGGGTTAAGCTCGTACTTTTACATTGTTTTTTGGATTTTGGAAATGCCTTTTGAATTAATTACGTCAAAACTAAATTTCACTAAAAATTGTATATAACGAAAGGCAAATATGTCAATTTGTTTTGTTAACACAGATACACCAATAAAAAAGTTAATCACTCGGACCCAGACATCCAATTGTGGCTGAAGACAGGACTCATATACAACAAATTGAGGGAGAGCAGTCAAGAGATTTTTCAGAAAACAAAAGTATAACAATTCACATTACATTGTTTCATTTACCACTATCATAGCATAGTTTAGGGCAACCTGACTTTATAGATATGATTGGTCGAATATGTTCTAAACCCGAAACAGCACGCCGACCCCACGTAGTCTTGTCTACCACCCCTAGCGTTTTTGTAAAGCCGTAGTCGCAGAGGGAGAGCAGCTCCCACTCGCTGTAGCAAATCGCAGGCCCCTTGAGTGAGCTGTAGCGGCTGAGACTGGTTGCCGAAGGCGACCAATAAGCCGAAGTTGCGGAGGTGAGCACGAGCGCCTGCGATTTGCTACGTAAGGGTGAAGGGGCTGCACTTCCCGCAGCGTCGAAGCTGTTGCAGAAATAAATTTAGGTCAATATTCCTGTATAAAAGTGAGGTTATGATTTTACAAAACAAATCATTACTCATAAACTATACATTTCCGCAAGGGGGGAGGGGCTTCCCCTGAACCCCTCTCCCCCAAACCCCCTCCTACCCCTCTACGCAAGTACCGTATGTCTATAGTTGAGTACCGCGATGAGCTTTGATGGGCTGCAGTGCTGATGTTGATGACACACTTTTGGCCTTTGAAAAAAAAAATGTCTTGTCCAACAAGGAGTTCAGCGCCTTAGGAGCAGGTAAACTACATGTGACAGAAAAAAGCTTCTGTTTGTTAATTAGAGTCATTGAGTTGGGTATTCAGTGCGTTTGAATTGTTGTGTCTTGGTGCAGGGCAGCCTCAGTTATAAATTCTCTCACACCTTTATCATACAGCACTTAGTTAAAAAACACAGTTAAAATTAGAATTTAAGTCAGGCAGCAAAGTAGGTGGCAAAGTAAAACACACCAACACTGAATATGACAATTATATGAATGCATCTGATATAATATCTATCAGAGTAGCCTTTCAACATACGTCCCATAAAAATCATATAGTATATGACCAAAGAGTAAAAGTATACAAATATACCTTATTTAAAATATAGCAGAGTAGCTTTGAGCATATGATCCATGGAAAATTTCATAGTGTCAATTTATGCACTGAACTGAACTTGCTCGTTGACACGAGCGGCGAGTTTAGTTGTGGGTGGCGGGAGGGCAGTACTTCACACTTAACTCGCCGTAAAATAGCCCGGCCGGCTATCCCGTTCAACTTAATTGTTAACTTGTTCCTTTACTCGCTAATTGGCGTTTAACGAGATTTTCTACTTAATTCACCAGGTTCGCAAGTTAACTTGCTACTTACTGTACGTGTGGAAGTGTAAATCAGTCTTTAGTCAATGCACCACAGAGTCGTCCAGTAATAAAACTAAAACATCGAGTTCCTGATATAAATTACATCTTCAATATAATATATCTTATACTTTAATTAAAAATATACATACTCCTGAAGAGAGTATAATATCTACCATATTCCCTTTTAATAATTAAACCTGTTTTTTTATCTTTAGATTTTTCTTTTTAAGTACATAATTTATTTGAATAGTTCAAATTTGCATTGTATTGATTGATGATATTTGTACTCCAAATTAACCTAAAATTGCACGACTCAATCTGTGAATGTTATGTACACTTGTAATTGATATACATATCAGAGAGTATAGAAATGTGTATGTTTTCGTGATTGTTATATATGTGTATTGTAAGTGTACTTAAAATACACGTATATAACAATCACGAAAACAACATAAATCACGAAAACAAAATAAAAATAATAAAAATAAAACATTTGGAGGCTATGTGAAAGTTCGCCAACTCTCACTTGCTCCATGACTCTCTAGATATGAGACGAATCTTGCACAGATCTAAAGACTTCTATGGATAATACTAGACAGACACTGCGGCCTTAATAGATTGCGCAGTATCATTATTATCATCATGATCATTACATCCCTTCACAAGTCCCCTGCTGATGAACATAGGCCTCCCCCAAAGTATGTTATAAAGTATTAAAGATTGCACAGTAATTTACAGTTAATTCTCGACTTCTTTAGTCGACTGCGAGTGGACGAGAAGACTGGCTTTTTGTTGTGTAATCTGCGAACGTTGTTTTCGTTTTGTTTTTTGTGTATTTTGTTACACTGATTTTGTTTTATGTGACGAAGAAAACTTTGCCAACATGATTTGAAGTTTAATCCATATACGTATGTAACTTTATATCATATTTGCCTCAAAGCACTAACTGTCGTAAATGAAAATATAACTGCGTGGCATATTTACCGTGCAAACTACCGCGCCCGCCTGATTCACAGTTGATACAGTTTTTGATCTTAAATGCCGGACTTGTAGTATAACTAACTCCAATTGTGAATCTAAACCATCCATGGAGCCACTCAAACACACAAAAAATTCATCATAATCACTCCAACTATTTAAGAACTGAACTCAGTGACACACACGCAAAGAAGAATTGTATTTATAAAGATTCCTTGTACCCTAGGCTCCGTATCAACCGCTTCGCGTGGCCAAAGATCCTCAAAATCAGCTACAAACGGCACAACTTCTACGTGAAGTTGCGGCCAGGGGAATTCGAGCAGTTCGAGTCCACGGTCTGCTTCAAGCTGGCCAACCACCGCGCCGCCAAGAAACTCTGGAAGACTTGCGTCGAACACCACACGTTCTTTAGGTGAGAAGGCATTAATAACTATCTAGATTAAATTTTAGGTATCTGTTGGTAAAAATAACATATTGAGTCTTAGAAAGGGATAGCATATAGTCTCTTGAATGATCGGCTTTAGTTTGTTAGAGGGTTGTCTGCGTCATACGTGCGACAGCTATTAATCATCTGTAGCGTGGGTCTATCACGTCATAAACATAATTTGATGAATGACTACATTCGCTGTGCAGTGGCATTGTAAGAATATCCGCTAACCTGTATCATCCTGTGGATGTCGTGAGCGGCAACGGAGGTAAATGTAACAGGATATGGTTCAGGACAGGTGGTATTTGCGCAACCGTAGCCTAATTCGTGATGAGTGAAAAGTAAGAGTTTCGTGGTGCTGAGTGGGTTCTGTACTGTCCTACAACTCCTTACAATCTTGTGGATGTCGTTAAAGACGACACAGGGAAACTGATACAGGAAATGTACAGCAACATTTTTTAAATAAAAATTCAAAACTGCCAAGTGTGGTAACTTGGAAAATATTCCTCCATGTAGGGCAATCCTTCTAACTTCTTGTACCGGTAAGCGAAGTTTAACTCGGCTTCCTACTAGATAGAGTGACGATCTGGTAAAAGTGAGATGCAAGAAGTCGATAGATGTAGGTGGCTCAGGACCGTGCCTTGTGGTATTGCGGGAGACCTATGTTGGTTACTTGAGGAAGACTTTTGAATGGTTAATGATTTCTTATATTTATTCAAACACTACATATTGAAATAAACTAATTTCAAGGATTTTATCGTATTTAATTTTAACGTTCTACGTAGTTCAGACCAAAAATTAATATGTAAAAACCGAAAGTAGCCGGGCTAATTATGACATCGGGATGTCAAACACCCTAGACCCCACTGTGACTATATGAAACGTCTGGAATTAAAAAGTTAAAATTAAATGCGATAAAATCCGTAAAATTTGTTTCATTTAATTGTGAATGGTTGTAATTAATATGTGGTAGAACCATGTTCAGGAATGGATTTACACAGGCTCTAAGGAAGTGTTTTTTGTAGTAATTGTTTTGTAGCCAAAAGGCTTGTATCCAACGCCTTGACTAGTAAAAAAGAAAAAAAAACATGATGACGTGTGTATCTTGGGCAGGCTGACGAAGCCGGAGCCCGCGAGTCGCGGCACGCTGTTCCCGCGGCTGGGCTCGCGCTTCCGCTACAGCGGGCGCACGCAGCACGAGACGCGCACGCAGCACCCGCAGCGCGCGCCGCCGCACTTCGCGCGCACGCTCTCCGCGCGCAAGCTCTCCTCGCGCAGCATGGACGGTGCGTACGCACACACACACACGCACGCACGCGCGTATAGTAGCGCTCAAACCCTCAGACACTCATACTTAGTCGGACAGAGACAGACATACAGTCAGGCACACTATAGACAGACGTATGCACACACACGCACTGACAGAGACAGGCTAACACATTTACACACGCATGAATGCACGCACTGTTATGTCCAAGTCCAACCCTAGTTAGAAGCGCTGACTTGATTATTTTATTTAGTATAAAAGCGTAGTCTTTGAGATAATGGAGTAGTGCAGCTCCGACCCAAATTAAGTGCATATCTCACACGCTGTTCGCGACTTTTGTAGATTTCTTGTATTATTTTAATATTGAGAAAATAAATTAAGAGAACTTCCAGGATTGGATGTAAAAGTTTCTTTTTCGCGGAGCGGACATTTTGTAGACGTCAATGCTGGAAAATTGTAGGTCAGTCAACTCTGAATGGTATACTACAGTTGCATTAACCAAAGCTTTGCAAGCTGTGCGGGACAGAAGACCAAAGACCGGGTTTTGGGGAATGATGCTGCATCACTATAACGCCTCTTCATATACTTCTCTTAGAACAAAAGCATTTATTGAGGAATCTCGTGTTGAAACTTTAAGTCACCCACCGTACAGCCCTGACTTAGCTCTTTGTGATTTACTTTGTTCCCAATAGTCAAAGAAAAAAAAGCAAGGTAAGTGTTTTCAAAAGCCGAAGAAGCCGTGGCTGCCTACGAAGAAGCGATTTCCGACCTGTCATATCAAACTGGCAAATGTGTTTTCAGAGTTGGTTTAGGCGAATGGACCTTTGTATAGAGCATGATGGAGAATATTTTGAAAAGATGTAAAATAAATATTAGTAGTAAGTATCTAATGTATATCTCAAAATTTATTGAGCGTTCTACGTACTCACACATATACGCTCAGTCACTCTAGCACCTACCGTTAAATACAAATATACGTACAGACAAACATTAATAACGCTTTAAAAAAATCGTGCTCTTATCGAATAATAAGTGTAGTTTTTTTAACCCACCCTCATTATTTTTTGTTGTTATTCATAATACCGGTACAAGATAAAGTTTCTAAAAACCTTTGATTGTAATGTAGTGTTTAAAAATGTCATATTAATTTAATAAATAAAAAGTATACAATAAAAAAATAAAAAATGGGCACACACATAGATACGTATGCACGCACTCGTAACTATTGACCAGAGCAAAACATACATACAGATAGACAAACATAGACACATGCATGTACGCACAGTCGCAGTTTCACTCGTTGACACGAATAACACACAGCCACCCGGACAGGAACCATTGCACCCACTGACGGGTACAAATATACATGGAGACAGACACACAGACACGCACACTCTTCATTGACAGGAACTGACATTCATACAGACTGACTGACACACACGTAAATTGAACGCATGGGCAAAGCGCGTAAACACAATAAGTCGCACTCACCTGACATAAACACACACATACAAACAGACTGACCGACACAATTCATACAATTTGTTTTTGAAATACAACACGGTTTTCTATTTTTCTAAAACAGAGATCTAATCGCTAGTAGCTCTCACGTTAGTGCGTACATATTGAGTGATTAGAAACAGATGCCTAACATTTGTTCTCTATAGTCGTTCATAAATTCGGTTATCTATTATTTTATTACATTTTTTACTTGCGCTTGTATATTTTGCTATGTATATTTTTATTTGTCTTGTATTACGCCCGGTTATATGCTTTTCTATTCCAGTACTACATGTTAGTGTTCTAACCATAAAATACACGCGCATATACATACAAATGGATTATTTGTTGATAATAGCCTATTTTAATGTCTTTTTTTATAGAATAAGGATGACAAACGAGCTCGCAATGCACCTGATGGTAAGCGGAAGTTGTGGCCCATAGACATCTACATTTATCATCGATTAAAAATTAAAACGCAGATGCGTTGTCACCCCTGAGGACTCAGATGGAATACCTCGTTTCCAGTAAAAAAGGGTCTTCGGATCTCTACACTCACCATACGAAACACAGCAGTATTAAGCTGCTATTTCACGCTGGTATTTAGTGACAGCGTGGTCCTACCCCGGTCGAACCGACCCATTCGTGCTACAACTATAATATAGCTGTAGCTTGGCTCTACCACGTGTGAATTTTTTTTAAATAGAAATAAAGGTCATAAACGAACAAACAGTAAACGTAGGCTGTGATGAGAGGATGCTGCGCCCACAACCTGTATCTAACTTGATTAAGAATCAAAATGCACTGTGTGTAGCAATATGTTGACTAAGACGAAAAACCTCATTGTTACTAAAAGGGCTTTAACAAAGGCAGCCCCAGTTCCGCTAGATTCCGACCGCTAGACCCAAATGTCGCCGGCACGTCACACAAGCACTACACGTTCACCGAATGCTACAAACACTGCTAGGACAACGGATGGGATGCATCATTAATATTTTCGTTTAAAAAAATAGTTTTCGGAGGTTTTTGGTTTTCGCATAAATATAGCCTAGGTCCCTCCTAGCATTGCCCACCATCTGTTCGTGCAGTTTGTTTACAATCGGTTCAGCCATTTAAAATATTAGCCTTGACAGAAAGAAGCAATAGACGCTGCAGCTATATTATAGTCGCAGCATGAATAGGTCTGCTCGACCGGGTAAGGACCACGCTCTCACAGAACACCGGCGTAAAATAGCAGCGTAACGCTGCTGTGTTTCGTATACTGAGTGTAGAGAAACGGAGACCCTTTTTTACTGGAATCGACGCATTCCATCTTAGTCCTCAGATTCAGATTCTTAACTGGGGACAAATGTGGATGTCTATGGGCCACAGCATCCATTTACCATCAGGTGGACTGTGTGTTCGTTTGTCACCCATTACTATAAATAAAAAGACAAACATTTTAAAACTGGTTTGCGCAAACATCGTTTCTGTAGTATAAACGTTTTATTTATGTTAGTTGAATTACCCAAAAAAATTATACCATAGATTCAGTGGATAAATATAACCATAGTACGCATTTCTAGTAACAGATTCAGAAGTTGACCAAGAAAGTATTGAAAGAACATAGCAATAACTCTATATCTTTTTGTTAATCTTTTCTATGTGTGATTTCCAATTTAGGTGAGAGTCAATTTTAACTCCAAGAAAGCTTATATTAACTACTTCCTCTATGACTGAGCCATCAAGTGATATGTTTAAATGGTTATATGTTTAATAGTTAACAGTGGTAGAGCCACGCGGCAGCTTTGCTGTTGCACGTATGGGCCGGCTCAAACCGGGGTGGTACCACGACCTCACAGAATACCGGCGTGAAATGGAAGCTCTGCTTCCGCGTTTCGTCTGGTGAGTGCAGATGGCCGGAGGCCCAAATCCCCCCCCCCCCGATCAACATAGTAGCGGAATTAAATAATGATCGACTACCCCAGGAGGGTACCAGCACCCCTGGAGAATCCCTCACTGAGCATCCACGACCATGTTTCTCCACTTCTGAGCGTGGGTGCTCAGGCTGCCCCGCGTATTCTAGGGGGGGGGGGGGCAAAATTCCGCTCAAGACTACAACTGCTCGGGGCAAACGGAGCAACAAGACCAAGGCGACCCCTGCCACGCTGTCCGTGAATTTCTGCAATATCAGGGGACTTCACTCTAACCTAAACGCCGTCCACTACCATCTCGAGACGGCGAGGCCGGCTCTGCTCTTTCTGACCGAGACGCAGGTGTCCTCTCCGGCTGATGTCTCGTATCTCTCCTACCCGGGGTACAAACTGGAACACTCCTTTGTGCCTCGGGCTGGAGTTTGCGTTTACGTCCGAGAGGACATCTGCTCTCGACGCCTCGGCAGACTTGAAGGTTCGGACCTGTCCATCCTTTGGCTACGCGTAGACAGCGACGACCATCCGCGCGTCTACGGGTGCCTCTATAGGTCCCATAGCGGTAATGCCGAAACAGACCGACTATTCGACCACGTCCAAATGGCTGCAGATTCGTTGCTACAGCAGATCCCCTCCGCAGAGATCGTGATCCTCGGCGACTTTAACGCCCATCACGCCGAATGGCTTGGTTCACGTTTAACCGATCATGCGGGGAGATCTGTTCATGATTTTGCCTTGGCATATGGTCTGACACAATTGGTTACTTCGCCTACGCGGATTCCAGATGTGGAGGATCATGCACCTTCCGTGTTGGACCTTCTGCTGACCTCTCACCCGGACGGATATCAGATATCCGTCGACGCCCCCTTTAGGCTCCTCGGACCATTGTCTTGTCCGGAGTGTGGTGCCACTCACGCTGAAATCGCGGTTGCATTCTGCAGGCTGCCGCCGTGTTTGGCACTATAGGTCAGCCGATTGGGATGGAATGCGGTCTTTCTTTGCATCCTACCCTTGGGGGCGGGTTTGCTTCTCGCCGGATGATCCCAACGTTGTTGCGGATTCTGTCGCTGATGTGGTACTTCAGGGAATGGAACTTTTTATTCCTTCCTCTGTGGTGCCCATTGGAGGCAAATCTCAGCCATAGTTTGGTCGCTCCTGTAAAATAGCATCATGCTATAAGCAGGAGTGTTACCAAGCCTGGGCTGATGCATCAGTGTCCCGGGATGTAAACACCAGCGCTCTAAAAAAGAAGTATAATTCCGCCTCTAGGTCCTTCAAAAGAGTCATTGCCAAGGCAAAGTCAGAGCACATAGGCAGAATTGGCGAGAAACTAGTTCGCCTTCCTTCTGGAACCCGTGCATTCTGGTCTCTCGCCAAGGCTGTCCAGGGGAATTTCTGTCAGCCATCTCTTCCATCTCTGCACAGGGAGGACGACTCACTGGCTCGTACCGCAAAGGAGAAAGCCGATCTTCTAGGCTCTTTCTTTGCGTCTAACTCGACTCTCGATGACGGGGGGAGTACTCCGCCGACCATCCCGTGGTGTGAGTGCTCCATGTCGGAAGTGCACTTCACACAGCGCGCGGTGCGCAAAGCTCTCCTCTCCCTGGAC